ATTATTTTAGACATGTTCTTATAAAGTTTATTAAAATACTGGAAAAAACTTTAAAACCAATTTCCCATTTCTGGTAGAAAGGCTCCAAACAATAAAATTTCCATTTCAAAAAACGGAAAAAAAATATATTGTGCTTTGATAAACTCAAATTTCCTCTAACAAAATTTAAAATTTAAGAAAATAAGAGATCAGGAGCATTCAGGTTCAAAATTGGAGACTTTACTAGCAAAACATATTTGTTCTGAACAATACTCGAGAGTTACGTAAAAGAGTGATGCTTTCATGGAAGACTCGGAAAGTGGCTTTTTGCATGTTACATATGAGGAAACCACACAAATACGCATGAAGCCATTCTGTTATATGGGACTGAAAACGGGTTGAAGTAGTACTCAACTACTTTATCTATTCTGTCGCTGACAGATATCGGGGGAGAAAGCAATTGACTCACCTTAATCCTTCTTTTCTTACACGTTACTGGAATACTTACTACACGTTTCTTACTCGGTTTTTGTGAAAAAAATTATATAGCATCTGCCAAACAAATCCACACTTCCGGATACTGATAGTTATACTACCTTAGAAAACAGCATTCTTATTAAATCTATAGTTAGTTCCTCAAAACGAAACTTGAAAATTACTTTTAATAACTTAGCGAAATGAGTAACTTACAAACTGGATTTTTTTAGGGGGTGGGAGGCAATTATACGAAAAGTTTAATTATACTTTAAGAGAAATTTATATACATGGTTTTCAAAATATTTCTATAAAATTCATTAATTTATTTTAGGAAACTTTGCAATTGAAACCCTTCGTCGTAGTTATACTATTTACTTCATATTCCAGAAGTGTTTTAAATGACGAAAATATGCTTGTTTTACCAATGTCAGGTTTTTTAAAAAAAATTAATTTTCAACAAATAACGAAATCTAATTTTTAATGCGGTCTCCCAGATCCTATACTTATGTTTGGGGAAATTTCATACTCGCTATGAAAAAATAAAATGATAAGAAATTTGACTTCCTTACGACTAAAATTGACCGGTACATTTAATTTCAAAATTTGTAGTTTTTAATATTATTTTCAACTCGCCTTGAGAAATCGACGAATTAAGTTAGAATGATTTGAGGAAATAAGTTTTAAATGAAGTGCAACAAAAAGGTGCGTATAATTTAATATGACGTACAAGGAAGTCATGTTGCGTCCATATAGGATTTTCTTGATGCTATATGAAAAGTTAATTTTTTTATTAATAAATCCCTCTACTCAGTGCTAAAATAGTTTTTATGCAGTCTTCTACCTTATTTTAAGAAATGTTATATTCCTTACGCCTAGGACCAATATATAAAATGAAGTAAAATTTGCGGCTCACCTTACGTTGCATAACTTTCTTCTGTAATTTCACGTGTTTCATGAATTAGAATTTATGCAAATCGCAGTTATGTAGTAACAAAGAACACTGAAAGATAAAAATCGTTTGGCCCCAATCTGCTTCTGTAGGCAGACTGATGTTTAGAAATCCATTAAGAACATAAGGGATTAACTCTTATGAAACTTAAAAGTACCTTTCAGATTTATTCACCTTTTCTATTTAAATAACCACAACAGACATTCACTAAGCACTTTCACAACAGAAACAGGGCATAGCTCGTCACGTTTTATACTTAGCCGAGCACAGTGGAAAATTCAGCATGATTTTCTTTTCTCTTGAAATCCAAGAAAGCTATTCAAATGATCCGAGCCACGGTAAAACTGATATGTGGAAGTAAATCGTAAATAAGATTTAGGTTATGTTCATGTAACAGAAGATGGTATAATAGCTGGAAAAGGTAGATCAAAGCAGTATCACATCACAAAACGCTAAGTTTTAATGTAGAAGTGTTTATAGAATTAAATTACACGCCGTCGTTATTTTAACAACTCCCATTATCCGTGCTAATGACCACATGGAAATACACTAAAAAACAAGAAAACACGGAAAATCCAAAAGAAACCTTTTAAAAATGTAATTTATGTACGCGTATCATAAAGAAATAAATTCTTCTATTGTTTTAATGAATGATATATAATATACAGTAATTAAACTTCACATACATTTTGGAAGTTTTTCTTCTAGGAAAAAAATTTCTTGCTTTGCTTTTGAAAAAGAAACAGAGAAAGAGTTGCGGTGATATTCTTTCAGACAATGAGACAAATAGTGCTCAAATCTATTATATCATTAAATTCTATATCAATTTATTTTTTCGCATAATTCAATAACATTAAAGATTCCACTGAATTGCCCTTCCATGCGTGCACTCCCCCCCTCCCTCGATTGCCTTCTCGGTATTCTTCTTTTCTTCTTAGTCACAACAACAGGATACGTACATTGAAGTCAAATCTTCTGACTTAGGGATTCTCAACAAGAGAGGAATTCCCTATGGGACGAATTTCGTAGTTTCAGGAGGGGGGGGGGGAAGCGGCCAGCCTATTTATTTTTTTAGTTTTAGTTTATGAATATAAAAGCTACCTTTACTCAAGTTTTGGTATTCACGAACATTTTCTATACTTTTTCTTTTATAATTTGTAAAACACATTAAAGATAACCTAAATTTAAATAAATGTACATATATTTTTCGAGTTTAGGGAAAGAAGTTAGAAGGGATGAGTAAGGGTAAAAGGGGTGTCAGGGGCAAAAATGTTGAGAACCATTGTTTTAACTTAAAAAAAAAAAAAAAAAAAAAAAACGCACAGCTGTATGAGCCAGACTCAAACTGCTCCCCGTTTCGACCACTTCCAAATCTTACTAATGTTACTGCATCGATTCGTATAACGAGTTCTTTCATGAGATTTTCTTTTCTGAAGGTTTATCTTTGTAAGGAGTTATTTTATGCACTTTCTTGCGGCCGACAAGAACAATGCAGCATCAAAATTATTATCCTTCCAATATCACGGCCTCACGATCACTCTGGATACTGACTATGCAGCATAGGCGACTGCAAATGAAAGTGTCTTGTTGCAACAGCAAGAATTATTAGGCCATATCGATGCTGGAACGTAAAAAATGTACTACGCTCTCGCCGGGATTCTAAATTCGGACCTCCCGAATACACGTCGAGCGTGCTTCCAGTTCTGGAAGGGTGCTTCTGGAACGTGTAACTGGAGCGTGCTTCCAGTTCCACGAAGGCATGCGGAAAGGAGGGAGAAAATACCTTATATACTCTCGCTTTTATGGGGAGACTGAGATGAACGGACCCAATAATCAAATCCTGGTGGTGACGAATTAGATACCTCCACCTTTATAGTTCGGGTGCCACTGTAGAGTTATTAGAATTTTTCGATGTCAGAGAAAACTGAAGAAATTCACAATCTCCTCGCTGGGATTCGAACTTCAGACTTCCCGAATACGCGTCGTGCATGCTTTTTGTTACACCACGAAGGCATGAGGAAAGGAGCGAGAAAATACCACACAAAGTAACGTTCACAGCTATTTAAAACGTATAGCAATATTTTCATTGATCTCTTTCCAGAATTTTTAAAGAGAAAGGGAAAAAAATTAACTCATTTGTAGAGACATTAGGTATTTTAGAAGCAGAAAAGTTAAAAAATATGCAACCGCCTTCGCCGGGAATCGAACCACGGACCTCTGGAATACCGGCCAAGCGTGCTACCGTTACACCACGAAGGCACGCTAGGGAAGTGGGAGAAATACCTTATATACTCCCCTTCTTAAAGGGCGACTAGGGTTTTAAGGGACCTAGTCGCCAAATCCTGGGTGCGGAGAATCATCATCCACAACCCTTTTAGCTCGGGCGCCATTTGTAAAGACATTAGGTATTTTAGAAGCAGAAAAGATGAAAAATATGCAACCGCCTTCGCCGAGAATCGAACCACGAACTTCTGGAATACCGGCCCAGCGTGCTACAAGGGAGGAATTCTCTCTATGGGGCGAATTTCGTAGTTTCAGGAGGGGGGAAGCGGCCAGCCTTTCATTTATCTCTTTAGTTTTAGTTTATGAATATAAAAGCTACTTTTACTCAAGTTTTGGTATTCACGAACATTTTCTATACATTTTCTTTTATAATTTGTAAAACACATTAAAGATAACCGTTACACTACGAAGACACGTTAGGCAAGTGGGAGAAACACCTTATACATTTTATCGTTTTGATATTCCTTAATAATCTGCTTAGAAGTTACCGTGTTTTTTGCTGCAATACCTTTCAATTCTTCGGCATCAAAATGTCGACAAGTGTAGCGTTTTCCTGTTACCCAGTATGCGAACTGCTTTTACGAGAGCATTTAGACAATCTGCTAAGAAATCTTGTGTGGATTATCTGCATAATGCATATAATATCCATATAACTTTTATGAATTATTAGAAATTTGCAATATTATACTTATGGATCTTCATCGGACAATCCGGAAACTTGACTCATTCGACGCTACACTGCAACTAATATTTTCATTTAAATGTATATTACTTTTACCAGCTGTGTGTCTAGCCAAATTGCTATTTTAATGCAACCTAATTTGACTACGACGAGTAGTTATGTATAATCATTCTATGATTATGCAGGAGGGGTGTGATACTTTTCTCTTCCGTATAACATAAAAGAAGTCGGAAGAAGAGATGATTATATAATTTAGGAACCAAATGAGATTTTTCTCTTCTGTTGTTCAATTTGCTTTTCATTATTAATAATAACAAGCACGCGTGCCCTAAAAAAATTATTTCATATTATCATTCAAAAGCAGTTACAGGCGTTTTCTATTTCATTTAAAATATTACAAAGCTACAGTCTAGTTAATAATGCACGCTACATAACTAGTATTAATCCCTTTCTGAAGATCACGGAAAAGTAATGTCGCTTTTGTTTTCAACATAATTCTATTATAAAATGTATTTGAAAAAAACGATTCTTCCTGTCTAGAATTTTTTTTAGGAAGGGGGTTGTCTTTTTTTCAGTTTACTTTTTTACAATACATAAAAAACAGAAATTAAAAAAAAAATATCTTCAAACCTTTTCAATCCGCTTTTGAACAAGTAGGACATCAGGAGAACAAAGTCTGCAGCATCTCTTCCCAATTAGTTAGCGACAAATAGGAAGGAGTCCAGGAACGTTAATTCTCAGTTTGACTCTCTTTATACTAGTACAAACGCCCATTGTCTGGCAGAAAACTCGTCTATTTATAAGCATTCTTGTATGAGTAAGTGGGAAAGCGGGCGAAGACAACAAACAGTAGTTGCCCATTCTCAAAATGATCAATCGGGATATTCCAAATTAATTAGACAAAAGAAACCATTTCTGATTATTTGATTATCAGTTTTATGTCAAAATTTACGAACAATCTAATGTAAAAGAAAATAACTTTACGGTTATATCCAAGTATATTCAAGTTTAAATTGAGATCTTTCTAAATTATCTGATAATTTAATTGTGTGCTGTATGCCGGCGCGAAGCAAACTATCTACAAGCGTTTTTTTTTTTTTTCGCATTTCGCTTTTACAAGTTACCTTCTCACAGAAAGTCTCCATCCATATATTCCTTCTAAAAATTCTGCACTGAAGCATTTATCTTTCATCGATGAATATCCATGGCTCTCTGATTAATATGTGTATATATGTACATTCTGAATTAACATTAAAAGAAAAAAATCAAATTTAAGATTACCAAAATATATTATACTTTGAAATTCTCGCATATTACTTAATTAAAATATTTCTTATGATAGAAAGGAAATTTATCAATTATATACTTAATTGCAAATTGCAAGTGAAACCTTCTTAGCCATGGTACCAGATGATTTTGATCTTCTGTTGATATGATTACCTTAGGCAGGAATATATTTCTAAGATATATTGATCACTTTCAGAGCTGATCATCTACGGAGGGTTGCCTTCATAAGCAGTTTCACTGTATTTATAATAGAAATAAAAAAACTAGAATTTATTACAAAAACTGTTGAAGAATTCCTGAAAAAAAATTATCATCTGAAGATAGAATTAATGATTCTGAAGGTAAAATCACGTAAGCCATAAAATTTCATGTTTTCAAAAGATAATTTCTTTTTAATTTGGAGAGTTGTGGATGGCCAAATTATCTTGCAAATCAGTTCTCAATATATATCTGGTTCACCTATCCATTTTTCACAGCTGACTAATTTTCTTATTAGTATATTCTAATCTTTTATAAACTTAATAATTCTAATCTTTTATATATTTTATAACCTAAAAATATTTATTATATTTTTCACACTTCAAATGCTTCCAGCACAATAAAGAAATAACGAGAAAATTCGCTGTTGGTTAGTTTTCGAGAAAATTCCAGAGTTCAATGGTATGCAGCCATTCGACACTTCCTCTACCCACAGCAATGGTCAGCGCGTTTATCAGATCTTTACTTCCTATTTGACCATATGTAGTCTAAATGCCATTTACTGTGACAAGAAGGAGACCAATAGCGACTAGAACAGACAAATTCTGGCAATGATTTACTCAGTTGTCAGAACTGCAGTTTCCAAATTATCACCTAAACTCTTCGACTGTATGCTTCGCCGCATAGCTGTAGTCATTGCTGCTCATTGTGACAGCATTCTGTACTAATCTAACATACCTGAAATTGTCGTCTAACATACCTGAATTCTTAATCACTTCGTCTATTTATTATAAATAATCTGCAAATTAAACTTAAAACTATGCTTAACTTTTGTCCTTCTTTACTTTGCAGTTTTAACGATCAGTAGTCTAGTTATTAAGGTAAATCTCTTAACTTCATAGCGTCGTGATACAACACGAGTATTCATCACAGAGTAAAATATGCTTTATATATTGAATTGAATCTTTAGTTACTGATATACCATACGTAGACCAGGATCAAATCTCAATTAAATATCATTACCAGAACGAGTAGTTTTCTTCAGAGACAAAGACGGTACTTCGCTTGATGACTCTGCTAAGATAGTAGTTGGGGCTATTGAACTGTCAGTAGGTATAAAAATTCCATTGGCGAATTTTCACTAAGAATAACTAGAATCGTTGGTGATACGTCGCACTGAGTAGTGAAGGTTAGCTTCAAATGTTCAATTCCAATAACAGTTCTTTTCCATTTATGAGAATGAAGTGTTTACCAGTCTGTTTGACAATGTGATAGGGACGATTATATAGCTGTGTGAAAAGTACTTTTACTGTGTCATCGAGAACAAAAACACGAGAGCAAGTCTCTAAGGACGGGTGCACAATAAAGACAAGTTTAATATATGAATAAATAGAAGCTGGAGATTATTTCTACATACTGTTTTAGGGATGCTGGAGCAAAACTGCAACAGGTGGTTAGAGGGCTCTAAGAAATCTCCTAGTAAAGACAAGTTGTTCCGTAGAGCGTCTCAGATCTTTGAAAGCTGAGCGAGAGTTAAGAAAGGCAGTTGGTAAAGATTCTGTCTAGCGTGTATTATAATGAAATATTAAGGCTTGCTTAAGGGTCCAGTGAAATCGCTCAGCCAGTCCATTGCTAAATATGTGACATGGAAAAATTCGAATCCAGTGAATTCCTAAAATCTTCTTGAGTGAATAAATTAAATGAGACTCAATTGTCTTGAATTCTTAGTCCGTAGTTATAATTCCTGCGACTCCGAATCTTGCAATCCAATATGTAATAAATGTACCAGCGAATGTTCCAGCCGTAATATTCTGCACATGTATTTCTTCAGGCCAACAAGAAAAGCGATCCATAAAGGTGACAAAATGTGTATATCCTTCAGATGGAGGCAAGGATCCCACGATGTCATGGTGAACGTGCTCGAATCTTTGAGAAACAACGGGAAACGATTGCAAAAGGCTACAAGTATGTCGATGATTTTTTAACTTCTGACAGTTTGTGCATGACTGTGCCAATTGTATACGTCTTTTAATATCCCTAGCCACACATACCGTTCTTGAATAAGTTTAAAGGAGGCTCTTATACCTGGATGAGATAAATAATGCAGGTCTCTAAAGATTGAGTAGCGTAACTTTTTTGGAACATATATAGTCAAACTTTTACAGTGCTAACATCACAGTAAAGTCTTAAATTAAGATACATCTGCAAAATCTCGAATTCAAATGGTATATCATGCTTGGCAAGTAGGTCAAATAACTGGGTATATTTAGCCTGCTCATCAGCCATAGTGGAAAAGTCGGTGCCAAGGATTTGTGGTCCGTGTGTATTGTAAAAGGGGTACCTTAGGAACTATGCCGAAAGTGTTTTACAGTCGAATAGATTGCTAAGAGCTCTCTGGCATAGGTTCCGTACATTTGCTTGATAACGTTCAGTTAACGCTAAAAGAATGCTAGAGTTTGCAAGTCCTTTCCATTTAATACAGCGCCGATTCCATTTAATACCGTGTTAGAAGCATCGGCCATCAAGTATAGCTATTGATCAGAAGACAAGCTAAAGTTGCCGAATTCATAAGATCATGTTTACATACTTCAGATGCTTGCGTTAAAGTATCATTACAAAGCAGTTCATGGAACTGAGCTTGGTTTTTGGCAGTGTTTGAAATGAAACGAAGGTAGAAATTGGGCATTGTCAAAATATGTTATAACTCTATAATAGTTTCAGGTTTGGGAAATTCGGCTGTTGTTAGAGATTTTCCAGGTAGCTGTTTTACCCTATAAAGTGTTAATAAGGCATCCCATGCTGTCTGAGGCTAGATAAACTTACCTAAGATGTTCTTTTTCATTTGACAACACGATTAGAATTTCATCCAAATAGGGTATACAAAATCCCAGTCCGCCTAATACCTGATATAGGTACCTCTGAAAAATTTTCCCTGCGTTACGGAGGCCAATAGAATAAACAGAAAATAAAAATAAACCAAATGTGGTTGTTACAGTAGTTTATTTTAGTGTCGGTTGCATTAACTGGAATCTGGGATACGCGCGAGCTAAATTTAATTTTTGTCCTATAAAATACTTGGCCGCAGTTTTGGATATGGGAAAGAGGATAACGGTGCGGAATAGTGATGGCATTTCATATGAAGAGGGCTTGCCCAAGCACTCTTTGACGAGCGCACGATACCTCGTGCCAAGACCATTCCTGGCGACCAATTTAGGCGATAGCCAACACGTTTTAGAAAATAGCAGAGGCCCTTTGGTCTCCGTGTGGTGAAGAACAGTATGAATCGATCGCTCTTTGGGATATATGAAGGGTTAGTTAAGTTCTGAATATTTAGTCAAAGTTTTATCAAACTTAGAAAGACCTAAAAGAATGCTTAAGGTACTTCTTTCCAACACGTTTAGAGCAACTTTTACCTGTAAAGAAAGCATGGTCTCGGCATCAATCATACTGTTATTTTTAACATCAACTAATCAATTAAACTACATTAGGAAATCAATGCCTGTGAGAGGCTGGCTAACTTTGGCGATTACTAAAGATCAAGTGAACTTTCGCCAGAGTCAGATGTCGATTACCAAAGGTTGGGATTTTTGTTCCATTTTTTTTTTGTTTTTGGCATAAAAAAACAATCCCTTATAAGGTTATTATTTAAATTAACCACTTATTTATAACTTCGGCATTTAATATAACTTCTCCTTTTTGTTTCCTCACCAGAAATGAAAATACGTTAGTATTTATGTTGAGGTTTTCGGAATGCAAAATAGAACGTTCTCCACCCGTCGTGGCCATGTACGTAGTTCTGCCAGATTTATTTGACTTTGCGTTATTGCTGCCAATATTTAAATTTGATAGGCTGGTTAGAATATTTCAGTCAGCTTAGATTTAATTTATTTGAGTAATCCTTGAGCACTAGTCCACGTTTTAAATTTGAATTTAAGTGTTTAGTTTTATCGTCACAAATTGTGGTCGATTCTGTTAGCACGAGAAAGTGCTTTTATATTTAAGTTTGTATTTAAATAAAAAGGTTTGTTTAAAACATTTCCAAGACTTTGTAGTTAATTTCAGATACAGCGATAATTCGCCTTACGTCTGTTAGAAGTTTAAAACTCGCTTATGCTCACAAAGCAAACAAAACTCTCTACATCTTCATTCGTAACAGACGGCTTGGTGTGATTAGCCGCAAGGACGGAAATGTCTGCACCCGTGTCAATCAAAAATTTTAATTTAGATGAAGGGTCGGTCTAAAGAATGCGATTTAGATGGCGGTCTCGATTATGGCTCAAATGCTATCGTCGAACTAGTTTTCTTAGTGTCGGAAAGAGCATGAGGGAGTACATATTTTAGCGTTACGAGACAAAATTCGTGTGATAAAAGCATTGGTTGTTCGTCGACGTTTCATAGCATTCTCTGGAAGTACTGCGATTGCGCCCTTCATGATTCTGTGTCTCGAGCGACTACATTGATGCACAATCGCAGCGAGTTCGCTCACCTGCTGAGCGAGCTGTGCAATTCGTGCTTCCAGCGGTGAATTTTGTGCACTGCATACTGCACTGATTTGAGGAGACAGCCATATCATGAAGTTTATCTATCACAACCAACCA